TATATATATATATATATATATATATACCGTTCAGTAGCAGGCGGTTTGTGTATCGGTTTGTTGGTAGACCGGTTTGTACCGCTCGGTACGGGTGGTATTATTCGAAATTGAAGACCTTGGTTATATGTAGATCATAGTGTGGGTACCAATGCTGTAGTTTACTTGTGAACTAGAACTTTGATCTAGTTTTCCAGAAATGAAATAATAGGTAAACTGTTACAAATCAGTTGTAGGAAAAAGGCGTGTGCTATATCAATAATTTTTAGGCTCATTTTGTTTTATCTCCATTACGATTGTCAAATTTGTTTCTCCTGGCTTACTTTTTGTTGTTCTCAGGGAGGTTGAACATGCTGAACTAATTGTGGAGCTTGATAAATTGCCAAAAGTTCCTTCTAGAAAATATTACATTGATCGTGTGACTGAAATAACAAAGAACAGCTGGAAACAAGACACTGACCTTCATCGAATATTAAAGGAGATTCGAGAAGTTCAGCTAGAGAGTAATTCCATACAGGAAAGGCTTCACAGGACATATGCTGTGGTTGAAGAAACAGTTTTCAGGTATAAGATTTTGCATCTTGCTCTTGTTTTTGTTGTTAAGGTTTTATTAAACTTTAGGAAAATTTTGCTTATGTTTGTTCATATAGAGCAATTTCAGAAAATTATGCTATTCAGCTCAATGATGAACTCTGGCATGCTTCTTTTATGTGATCTTATTTTGGACCTTGTTTCATGAGACATAGCTATTGCTATGGTTCCGTGCAACAGATGTTCACTGGTCATGTAATCAAATTAAATGTCCTTTTCCTTAAGTTTTCAGGATTATATTTGTTGTTTGCCTCAGCATTCAGTTGGTGTTGTCTACTATTCAGGAGGTCTTGACTTGGTAGTTTCAGTATATGCCTAGGATAACTAGAATGAGTTAATTTTTTTTTTATTGCATGCTGAAATTTTAGAAGGAATTCAAGTATTTTCTTGGATGACATCCTTGTTTCCTTGGCCTCATGTAAGTCTTCATTTGCTATTTCGTTTTGTGCTCCTTGGCAGTCTGTACTATATTACTATATCATGAGAGACTTCCTACACTTCCATCATCTTTGACGTGGAACCAATCTTATCTATCTCTTATTTAAATAAATTTGATTAGTTTAGGGTTATTTTGCATATCATAAGTTGTCACATGACAACATACTGAATAATTTTGACCTAGTTTCTTAGATTACTCAAGGAAGAAGAAAATGTGAAAAGAATTTAAGAAAAATCAAATTATGATTGTGATTGAAAATTCCAAATCCTAATGGATGATTCCAAATCCTAATTGAAAATTATTTCTTCGAAAGGAAATCAAATCATATATTTGATTTGGAGCAATTGTAAAATTTTCACTTTTACATTTTTTTTTTGTACTTAGATAATAAAAAGGGGCTAGAACATTGTAATGCATTATTTAGAGATGAATCAATGAATCGTATGCTTTTCCTACCTTGTGTGTGAGTGGTGCGAGGCTTTCATCCTGAGAGTTCATCTCTTAAGCCACAGCGAGTGAGTTAGTTAACACAAACTTTATATAATAAACTAAAGAAAACTGGAAAAAAAACATTTTAATCTAGAAGATAAAAAGTTAGTATACAAAATAAAAGAAAAAATAAAGCATCTATTGCAATTAGGAATCCCTAGACAAGAAGCCACAAAAATTATAGAAACAGATGCATCATAAAATAGATGGGGAGCGATCCTATAACAAAAAATCGAGGACAAAGAAGAAATTTATAGGTATAGAAATGGAAAATATAATACAAAAATATTATATTAACATCAACAGATGCTGAAATAGAAGTAATAATTAATGCAATTAATGCCTATAGAATATACTTAGACAGAATTCATTAAGAGTTGGCTGTCATAATATTGTAGCTTATTGTAATAAAACACATAAAAGTAGATTAGTACAAAGAAGATGGTATAGATTAGTAGACTACATCACTGGAAATGGTTATAAGCAACAATCCCAACATATCAAAGGAAAGGATAATAAGATTGCAGATTATTTATGTAGAGAACTAATAAAACCAATGAGAAATAATATCATTCTAGAAGTAGTACAACAATTCATAATGAAAAACTTTAGATATAATATCTTCACCTTCAAAGCAACAGAACAAAACAAAATAAATTATTTACATTTCTAGACAAAGACAAATAAGTATTAGCTGAAAGAGAAAGTTTCTCTTGTCAGGCATGGTTCACTGGATTATGAGAAATCAATAGAATTTGGAATACATTTTGAAAGAGGTAATGCAATAAAATTCTTTTGTTTCAGATTAGACATGAAAAAGAAACTATATTTTATGATCCAAATGAAAATATGTTCACCTACTTCGAGTTGTATAGAAATCCAGAGGTACGAAAGGTAAACTACTTCTAAATATGGCAAAGATTCGATAATAGAATACAATGCAATATAGCAACATGCCTTATGCATGTAGCAAAGAGGCAATTGAAATAAAGAAGCACATATTGGCCTTGAATTTGTATATTTCAAAAGAAAATTTATGAATCAATACTATCCGCTGATAGGAGGAATAGAAATAGGAATAAGATGAAAAATAAACTATCGTTACATAAAGGCGAGATGCAAATTTCAGAATAAAGTTTGGTTTTCTTCAGGAACATGAGCTCGAAAGAATTCCCAGGTCCAAAAGGCTTTCGGCTATTTCAAACCAAATGCACTCTCCCTACTGAAGATCAAATTCTTCTAAGTGATATTTTCAACTTTTCTTATTATAAGCAGTATAAATTGGTAATAAGAGGTCTACATAGAATGGCAGAAAGGATAGACAGTTACAATAATAGTTTGATATCAGCACAAAATACAATAAATGGATGTCTGTTAGAGGTTCTGCAATATATGGACCAAGATATTAGCTAAAATCAGTATATAACAAGTAGAATAGCTGAATTAGAAGAGGAAAATAAGAACCGTAAATCCTGCTTGGAAGAACAACATGAATTAGCAGAAGAAGCTCTATGGCACAGGAAAATGTATGAAAGAAAAGAAATACAGATCATCAACTACATTGTTAGGCAATAGCTGAAAAAGTTTTTTATGAAAAAACTGCCAACAAAAGTTCAAGATTATATTTATGAAATAATGAGGACAAAAGATAGGAAGGAACTCTTAGAAATCCAAAAAGAGCTTTGTGATATCTTCTTTCTAGTATAAAATGTTCCTAATATGTCACCACAAGGAATTCCAGTATCATGGATGACTATGACTCATCAAGATCATAAGTGATATTATGAAAGGCATTGTGTCAGTCCTCTATATGATAGTATGATCATAGTAGAATATTTTGGAGTAAAAAAGTTGAAAATCTAATATTCGGAATGACATACAATAATATGGGACAAAATCAGAAAAGGTAGAAGTTTGTACTGCTTTCTAGAAAGAGGATTAATTGAAGAAATTGATTTTTGTTGTTCTCATTTCAATAGTCTAAAAAGAGAAGGCATTCTCTATAGACTTAAAGCAACTCTCCTTTATATATATTGGGAAAGAATAATTTTATCCACCTGAAGATTGAAAATTCTGCTTGGTAGAACAAACGAAGGATGAGCATATGATTTTAGGATTTTCATAATTTTTGATCTCATCGTCAAACTTTTACACATCTTTTCATCCTATCGGATCCATAGAAAAACCTGTAGAGGAGTTTGTACATTTACACAAAATTAAATATATTATGAACAATAGATGATAGACTAGAAGAAGGCTTATAGCCCAAGGACCTTGGTATGAAATATATTTTGATTCCTATATAGCTTTTATATAGCTCATTCCTAGAAGCAAAGAGTTTAATCAATAATTTATGTATGAAACTAAGCAAAAGATGGATAAACAAGAACAAAATCTTTGGAATGAACCATGGAATGATATGGATTAGCTTGTTGAAGAATATGACCATATTGAACTTGTATAATTTGATGAGAAGAAGAAAATCTTCAGTAGTTGGAAAATGTAGAAGAAAAGAATATCGACGATCCGTTGGAAACAAATAAAACAGATGAAAGTATAGACCATATAATAAATGAACTTGATCAAGTTTACGATGAACTACAGTCTCTGGTTCAAAAGATTTTTGATCAGGAAATAACCGATGGAAGTCATACATAAGCTACAGAATCCATGGCCAGGTGTCCGGTCCGCTGCCTTAAGATCCGGTTCGCCGTAGGATAAGAATGTCGCCTGGATAGAAACAACAATTTAGTGAAGATAAATTTAAGATGTCAGCAATGACATTCGCACAACACTGTTCAAACCCCCTCGACATGCCCATAAATACACTCCCCATTTATGTAAAATCTATCCGAAGTTTGTCTTTGTGAATATTTTTGGTATTTTTGCCCTTTTCTAAATTATGCTTCTAACCTTTTTCATTGGATCTACAAATAATTCTTTTTGTCTCTATCCTTTTTATACTATTAAGAACTATTATTATGATTGTTAAGAATCTAGCTAACTAGAAAATATCTCTTCACTCTAGTTCTTTACCCAAACTATTGCCTGATTTGCCCAATTTCTACTTATCTAAGAGCCAACGGACTTATGTAGTGCAAATAGGTATAGAACAGATTGCAGAAAAAGCTTCTAAAAGCGAGTAAATTATATTATTCAGAATACAACGATTTACAAAGAAACACTATTATTCAAATATTCAGCATGAAGAATATTTTAGAAAGATACAACTAAAACAGAAAACTTACAAGAACTGTGTCTGATTTCTTAGGCGACTCTTGACGAACACTATAGGGTTGGAAAGCTAAGGGACCCTGAAAGCACACATACACAAACTTTAGATATATTTGTAGGCGTGTTGATCATCGGTCATTTGCTGATCAAGTATCTTCTGAGCCAGAGATTGCAATTTACTGTGAACTTGATCAAGTTTATTTATAATATGGTCTATACTTTCATCTGTTTCATTCATTCCCAAAGGGCCGTCAGCATTCTTTTCTTTTACATTTTTTAACTGTTGAAGATTTCTTTTTCCTTATCAGATTCTACATAGATTTTCCATATGGCCATATTCTCCAATAGGCTAATCCATAGCATTCCATGATTCGTTCAAAAGATTTTATCCCTATCTGTCTATCTTTTGCTTAATTTCATACATGAGGTATTGATGAAGCTCTTTGCTTCTAGGAATGAGCTGTGTAACCAAGCTCCTTAAGCAATAAGCCTTCTTCTAGTTTGCCATTTATCCTCCATAATATATTTAGTTTTGTGTAGATGCACGGACTTCTTTGTAGGTTTTTCTATTGATCTGATAGAATGAAAAGATGTGTAATAGTGTGACGATAAGATCAAAGTTGTGAATATCCTAGAATCTTCTGCCCATTCTTTGTCCATTCTGCTAGGTAGGATTCAATTTTCAAATGAATAAAATTATGCTTTCCTGGTATATAAAGGACTACTTTAAGTCTATAGGGAATGTCTTCTATTTCTAGATTGTTGAGACGAGAACAATAAAAATCAATTTCTTCAATTAATTCTCTTTCTA